CACGCAGTGTGCTACGGTGTGCAACAGAATCACGATGAACCGAAAGGACATGCACCCGTCGAGAGAAGCCCGAGGGAGGCGGCGGTCGCCCGGGCGAACTCACAAGATGCAGCGCTGATTCTCACGTACTCCCGGGGCAGAGCATGTGGGAATGTGTACACCTTCTCTTTTAGTTACAGAATACTTGGAGCAGAGCAAAAGTGAGAGGGAATGACGTGCGTAAGGAGCTTTAGACTGGGATTTCCCTGAAAGAGGCGGAGCCGCGATCGTCGGCGGTGACGTCGCTGCGAAAGAAGACGTACGCGGGGACGAGAACTGGACTAGGCGACGTCATTGTGACGTAATGTTGTACAGTGAACAAACACATTCGAGGGGAAGGGACAAAGGACCTGTAGACACCATGGCAGCAGTCTCTGATAACGACTAACGACGTCTCCTATCGTAAGTGAGCAGGTTGTAGAAGAGAAAGAGTAATGTGAGGTTAGCAGCTGCGAGGAAGATCGGCACCTTCCAACGAACCAGCCACGCCTAAATTCAGTCTCATTTGTGGATATCAGGACTGAAGAAGCTGATCAACAACCTTGAAGGCAGGGTGAAACAAGTATCGAAGTGGATTTGCCCTAAGAAGAGCTTGATCCTCTTGATCGCGAAGTTTTTCCTGACGACGCTGCGACGCTAGGCGAGCGGCGTCCTCACGGCGAAGACGCAGCTAAATTTGCTTTATCGCTCATAATTATCATAAACAGATACAAATGAGAGCTAACCCCGCTATTCTCCAGCTCCGCAAGATTCGGCAGACTTCCCAGATTCTCACCCGAATCTTGAACGGGTTCTGCTCGACGGTCGCGCGCGGATGCGAGGGTTGATCGTCGATTCAACATCTGCAAATTATCATACTTGCTGAATTGCTCCATGCTCTAGGGTGAAGAGATGCACGAGCAGGACGAAGTGAATGGACATCATAATTGGGATCAAAGAGAAAAAGCTCTTACTGCGTTGGCGTCGTTTACATCGCTCTGCCTCATTAACGATGGTCGATTTCGTCGAAGTCGCGGCTGCTCGCTGGTGCCCGCCATCACATACTGATCAAAGTGATCGTCACTGAATTTTAGTCAATGAGTTTTGCTCAAATAGGCTGGCCCATCCAGTCTTTTTAGAGTGAATTTTTTACTTCAAACTTGTTTGACATCGCTTCAAACTTTGTTGCACTCCCGGCTTTACAAGGCCTACAAAACACAGACTGCATGCTAAATGGCTGAGTTATAAGCTATTTCCTTGGTAATCGAGTTTCAAATCTCAACATTATGTTATCCTAAAATCTCACAGATAAGTCCTCCCATTAGATAAGTCC